AGACTAAGACAGAACTCAACTCAACAGCCAACATTGCAACATGAATGCGTTAAAAAAAAGGACAGAATGTTGGAGCAGCGGCTGCCAGGCCCAGAGTGGCCAGGCCCAAGGCAGTGGCAGCTGGGCCCGGAGCAGCAGCAGCCAGGCCCAGAGCAGCCAGACCTGGGGCAGTGGCAGCCAGGCCTGGGGTGGAGGCGGTCAAGCCTAGGGTGGCCAGGCCCGGAGCACCCAGGCCTGGAGCGGCTGGGCCCGGAGCAGCCGGGCCCAGAGAAGCCGGGCTCAGAGCAGCCAGGCCCAGAACAGCATCAGTGAAGCCCGGAGCATCCAGGCCGGGAGCAGCCAGGCCCAGAGCAGCCAGGCCCAGAGCTGCCGGGCCCAGAGCAGCCGGGTCGGGAGCAGCCAGGCCAGAGCAGCAGCAACCAAGCCTGGAGCAGCCAGGTCCGAAGAGGTCAGGCCCAGAGCGGCTGGGCCCAGAGCAGCCGGGCCCAGAGAAGCCGGATCGGGAGCAACCAGGCCCAGAGCAGCAGCAACCAAGCCTGGAGCAGCCAGGTCGGGAGCAGCCGGGCCCAGAGCAGCAGCAACCAAGCCTGGAGCAGCCAGGTCGGGAGCAGCCAGGCCCAGAGCAGCAGCAGCCAGGCTGGGAGCGGCAGTGGCCAGAACCAGGCAGCAGGTTGTGGAGCGGACCAGAGCAACAGAGGCCAGACCCAAAGCAGCTGGTCCTGGAACAGCTCGCTCCTCGCCTGCCCACGCCCCAAGGCTGCCTCTCAGACATGGCTGGAAACTTTTGGGGGAACTTGAGGGTCTGCTGAATCAAGTGATGAAGGCTTAGATCTGGATGTGTTGAGTTATTATAGCGCTGGGGTGTTGATCTGTGAGTGCCTTGTGTGGAGTCTGGATGAGGTTGTTTGATCTAATATTTGGAAACGTCTTTTGTGTGAAGTGTATCCTTGGGCAGGTGGAGGTATTATTGATTTGAGAAAATGCTAAGTGATTTACTATCTGAAAAATTTAAAGTTCTGAAAGTTTAAGGTCTCTTGCCAAAAAGAGGTTTTAATAAAGCTAACACCTTAATTTTAATGGAGAAAGGGGAGGACAAGCCCTTCCCACCCAGAACAGGTAATCCAATTCCAACCAGCAGCTATCTTTAAACAATGTGTTCATTTACATTTGAATAGCTACACCTTTTGATAGCCTAAGGGCAAGTTTACATGTAAATAAGTTTGCTTCTCAATTCCCAGGGCAGAAAAAACAAGGTTTAAAATTATTAGATTTTAAAATTTATTCTTAGAAGTGTAAAAGTTTATTAATTAAAAAAACAAAACAAAAAAAAAGGAGATTGAAAAACCTGATGAACAATATTAGCTGTTGATTGTAGTAGAGTCAGAGATACGGGAGGGGAGTGGACTGGAAGAGGACAATGGGGGGTGGGGGGTGAGGGGGGAGTGGGAACCTGGTGGAGGGGGGAAGAAATGAGGAACCTTTGTAATAATATGAATAATAAAGATTGATTTAAATAAATAAAGAATTAAAAAAATAAATTATTTTTTTCACATAAAAAAAAAGTGAACTATTCATGTGAAGGATTCCTAAAAGGCCATTAACTTGGTCTAAACAAGCTTCCAAAGAACATGGCATCCATGAAAGAGGAAAATAAAAGAACAAAAGGATAGTTGAAGTACTGAGGAAGAAATCACTAAGAAATTATTTTTAAAATAATAATATGACGTGATATGAAACAACAGCAAATAGTTTCAAAACATATAATAGAGAACTGAAATGCATGTCACAGTATATACTTATATGCTGTATATGAAGCCCCTAGAACCATAAGAGATGCAAAAAATTCACTGTTAACTCATTCTCGAATTGTCCCCCACCCCTCTGTGGGGCATGTGGCCCACGTTGAGAACCACTGGGCTAAACCAAGTCACAAGTTCAACCTAGGTAAAAGGGTGGGGAAATAGACTCCATGTTCTGGTGGCAAGAGCAGCAAAGTCACATTGCAAGGAACATGGATACAGGGATGGGTAGAGAATTGCAGCTGGTTTTGCAATCTGTCTCAGTGCTCAATAAATATCCCCACAATGCCTAGTGGGTGCTGGGTAAATATTTATCGGCAGTTCTAAGGTTTTCAATCATGATGTTCACAGATGTCATTGAACACAATCAAATGGCAAAATTTCATCTCTTGCAAAATACCCATTGCCACCTTCAGTTTCAGAATAACAAAGGAAGGGCTCAGAAAGAGAGCTGTGCGAGGGGAAACCACACTAAGGCTTCTCAGCTGGCCCAAACAGGTTCCTAGAAAGAAATCCAGAGCATCTTTGGAGGTCTGGGCCCTTTAAGGCCCCGGTCCAAACCTGGTCACCTGAGCTGGAAGCCACATACCCTTCACCTATGAACAGAAAGAGGCTCAGATGTGGGGTTTTTATTTATTTATTTTATTTTATTTTATTTGTGTGTGTGTGTGTGTGTGTGTGTGTGTGTGTTATAAAATATATTTTATTGATTTTTCACAGAGAGGAAGAGAGAGGGATAGAGAGTTAGAAACATCGATGAGAGAGAGACATCAATCAGCTGCCTCTTGCACACCCCTCCTGGGGATGTGCCCGCAACCAAGGTAGATGCCCTTGACCGGAATCGAACCTGGGACCTTTCAGTCCGCAGACCGATGCTCTATCCACTGAGCCAAACTGGTTTCGGCGAGGCTCAGATGTTTGCCAGGGCTTGCACAGTCCGCTGAGGTCTGAAAGCCTTGCAAACCAGGAACCAGCTTGTGCAAAGACAAACTCGTTTGGCTGTTTCCTGGAAGATCTACCCCTTACTGAGAAAAATAAATCCCCAGGGCACTTGTGGAAAGGACACTATCCTGTGGGCAGAAAGAACAGCTCAGCTTAGATGACTGAGAGCCCTGATGGGACCACTTCCCATCTAACAATTACTAGGATCAATATCAAGGGCTGTTGTGGGAGGTGAGGAGGGGAAGAACGGAGGGGACTATTGGGTTTAGGGATTTGAAAGCTGTTCGTGAACATGGCTGCGGCCTGGACCAGAGGATTACAACACATAGTCACTTGGTATGCATTAGGCAATGTTGTGAGCATTTTACACATATTACTCATTTATTCCTCATATCAGTCCTTGTCATCCTACACACTCCTCCCTCCCTCTCTACCCCCTCCCATTCTCACGATCTCCTGAGTAATTCTCAGGCTCTAACCACAGTGGAAATAAGATAAAATTGTGGCCACTTTGATTTTTCCCTTGAGCAGGGTTCTTCTTCATGGGCTCATCCTCTCTCTTCCAAGCCTTTGTGGATGTGGAAATCCCTCTGGGTCTTCCTGTGAAGCCTGTTTTCCCCTGAAGGACTCCACAATCAGCATATCTCAGGGCTCACCACATTGTGTATCTCAGCCTGAGGGAGCCTCTCATTTCCTCCTACTGTCTTTGAACAAGTGGAACACCCTATCCTAGAAATACATGCAGCCTATTAAATTTTTAGATCCTCAAAAGACACGAAAAGCTCTTTGAAGACAATGAGCAGATCTTATTCATCCTTGAATCTCCCTTTGATGCCCAACACAGTACTTGCATCTAAAACTAGATCAGTGTTATTCAATTTAAAAGTCATCACCTGTTAGCAGGTTGAGAAATCAATTTAGTGACTGCATTAGTTATCTATGGCTGCATAAGAAATTGCCCAAAACTTAGTGGCTAAAAACTTTTATTGTACCGCTAGAGGCCTAGTGCATGAAATTTGTGCATGGGGGGGGAGGGTCCCTCAAGCCGCCTTCGCCTTCTCAAATCGGGGACCCCTCAGGGGATGTCTGACTGCTGGTTTAGGCCTGATCCCTGTAAACCACAGTTAGATATCCCTCTTGCAATCTGGGACTGCTGGCTCTTAACTGCTCACCTGCCTGCATGCCTGATTGCCCCTAACCACCTTGGCCTTGGCCGCTGTACCTGGAAACCAGGCTTCTCTCCTCCGGTCAGCCACAGGCACCTGGGATCCGAGCTGGCTTTGCCTGGATCAGTCGCAGTCACAGGCGCCTGGGACCTCTGGCAGCTTTTGCCCAGGCCAGGCGCAGGTGCCTGGGCCCGGTTTTGTCAGGAAGGACATCTGGAAAGTCATCCAGAAGACATCCGGTCTAATTAGCATATTACCCTTTTATTAGTATAGATGGTTTACATGGGTCAGGGGTCTAGGTGTGGCTTAGCGGGGTCCTCTGGCTCTGACTCTCTCACAGTCTCTCAAGGCTTAGAACCCTCTTCCTAGTTCACTTCTTAGTTCAGGAGGCAGTTCTCCTGACTGTTGGACAAATACCTCAAGTCCTTACAAGCCTCGGCAGGAGGCCTCCCTCAGGCCTTTGCCATGTGGTCTTTCCACAGAGGTTCCCTCAGCATGGCAGCTTGCTTTATCTGAGCGAGCAAGCGAGAGGGCAGGAAGGGACGAAGAAACACAGAAGAGATTAATGCGAAGGATTAGAACAGTCAGATGAGGACCAAAAAGTGTGCACTGGATGGGACATCAAAGCAGCTTCTGTGCTATGGAGGCCAAACTGAAGTGAATGAGGAGTAAATGAATGGTAATGAGTGATCAGCAGGTATAGGCAACTCCTTCAGGAGGTGTAGCTGGAACAAAGGAGGTAAACATGGCCAAGCCTCGGAAGGGCCTTAGGACATAGGGAGGGAGGGTTAAAGATGTACAGCAAGCATGTCAAACGCATGGCCGAAGGGCCACATGCCTCATTTTTCATGCAGCCTGCCATTTGCGAGTTTGACATGCTTGATGTAGAGACCTGAGTATGTTTAAACTCGTATGCCAAAAAGTTAGGGGACACAGTTGGATACAGGAGAATACAGGCCTAAACTCTGAAGCCCTCAACCTTGTTATAACATGTAATGGAGCCTTCTGGGTCACCCCATGTCTTAATCTGCTCAGGTGGCCATAACAAAATACCATAGACTGGAGGCTTCAACAACAGAAATCTATTTCTCACAGTTCTGGAGTCTGGGAACTTCAAGATGAAGGTGCTAGGTGACTGGGTTTCTGGTGCGTTCCCTCTTCCTGACTTGTAGATGGCCACCCGCTCACTGTGTCCTCACATGCTGAAGAGAGCGCTCTGGTATCTATCTCTTCCTCTTCTTGTAATGGCAACAGCCCTATTGGATTAGGTAGGGCACCATCCTTGTAACTTCTTTTAACCTCAATGACATACTTAAAAGCCCCATCTTCACATACAATTGCACTGAGGGTTAGGGTTTCGACATATGAATTGGTGGGGGGGAGATATGATTCAGTACATAACACCCATGTACTCACCTTTCTGTCTTTTCCTGGTGCAGCTATCTGGTATTTTATAAGCCTTATTGAAGCTGCCAAGCTGGAGCTCCCTCCACTAACCACACCCTTCCCTACTCCCCCTGCACTTCCCTCCGCTGACTGGGAAGGAGGAAACTCATAGGAAGAATATTGTTAAGAGAGTTGCCTGGTGATCAAAATACAAAAAGTTCTGGAAGGAGGAAGGAGCCTGGAGCTTCCAAAAGAAACACACTCATGCCAAGTCCTGGGGTGGCCCAGTGTGACAACTATATGTATGGACACATATTATTCCCACCAAGGACACCCCCAAATACGCTCTAAGCATCAGTTGTTCAGATATATCACAATAAAAGTGAGTTTTTAGGAATATAATATGCCCTCTCCCTCAAATCACTGAGGTCTCTAACCACTGAGCAATCTAGCCCACCTCTTCCTGCACTCCTCCTGACGCTGAATGTCCTGCCAATAATTTTTTACTCAACAGGTATTGTGCCAGCCCCTGGAGAGAAGCAGAGAACACAATAGCTGCTCTCATGGCACTTACAATCTAGTGGAGAGGCGATATTAACTAAATGACCATAGCTACAATGGTTCAGGTCGTGTGGAAGTGAGTCACACAATGGTATGAGTGCCTCCAACAAGGAGATGGAGCCCTGGCAGAGAGGGTAGGGAAGGCTGCCCTGAGAAAGTCCGCCTGAGTTGGATGGGAATGACGGGGGACGAACATGAGTAGATTAGGTAGATGTTAGGAAATACAGTACTGGTAGTTTTCTTTTATATATATATATATATATATATATATATATATATATATATATATATATGTTTTATTGATTTTTTACAGAGAGGAAAGGAGAGAAATAGGGAGTTAGAAACATCGATGAGAGAGAATCATCGATCAGCTGCCTCTTGCACACCCCCTACTGGGGATATGCCCGCAACCAAGGTACATGCCCTTGGCCGGAATCGAACCTGGAACCTTTCAGTCCCCAAGCCGACGCTCTATCCATTGAGCCAAACCGGTTTCGGCACAGTAGTTTTCTACGCTGCCTACAGAAAATAGTAACAAATTGACAGCTTTGTTTTTTTAACCACAAACAAAGTGCCTAAAAACAATACATTTATCATCTGCAGTTTCTGTGGGTTATGAGTCCAGGCACAGCTAAGCCAGGTGCTCTGCAAGGCCGCACTCAAGGCTGCATTTTCCCATGGAGGCCTGACTGCAGACCTGTGGGAGGGACCAGGCTCACCCAGGTTGCTGACAGAATTCATTTCCTTGTAACTGCAGGACTCACGGCAGCTTGCTTTTTCAAAGACAACAATGGAGGGGAGACTAGAGTGAGTCTGTTAGTAAGATGGAGTCTTACATAATTTAACGTAATCACAGGAGTGACATTCTGTCACCTCTGCCATATTCTATTAGAAGCAAGTCACAGGTCCCACCCCCCCTCAAGGATGTGAACACTAGGAAGTGGAGATCATGGGGTCACCTTAATGTCTGTCACCACAGAGAACCAAGCAAAAGGACTAGCAAGTGCAAAGGCCCTGGGATGGGAGGGCACATGGTCCATTTGAAAACAGAAACACCAAAAGCGAGAGGAAGAAAGGTAGGAGATGAGGCCAGATCAAGGAGGAACTTGTTCAAGATTCCAAGAATAACAGGAAGCCATGAAAGAGAGGGTGGTGATACAATCCAATACACACACAGCCCTCATTGCTACCCCAAGGCTTCTAGGCCTAGGCAGTGTGGATGAACGAAAAACCCCATCCAAATCCAGCCAAAGAACTGGGTGCAAGGGGCTGTCACCAAGGCAGGTGAGTGCCATGGCCAGGTGGGAGCTTACAAGGTCTGCCCTTGTTCACACCTTAATCTAGAGCCAGGGTCATACCAGGGGCTGAATAAGAATTTCTGAATGAAGTAGCTGATGGAGAGATGAAAGCCAGGTAGCAAATCCAGAGCCTACATGGCGAATCAGATCAAAGGCAATCAGAATTTTCTATTCTGAACCCTATAGGCCCACCCAGTCAGCATACAGAATTTCCTCTGAAAACTCTACCCAAGAGAGAGCAGAAGCTCCTGGGTACAAAGCAACTCAGCTTGGTGAGTCCCCTCTCTTGGCTCCCAAGCTCTGTATACCTGCACCTTGCCTCTGGGCCGTTGCTGGCACCATTCATTATTTGGATGACAGTGCTTTTTCTGGTTGGAGCTCAAACTATAAAAACAGGCACATGCCACAGGATTTGGTACGGCCTTAAGCTTACTGCCCACTTTCACCTTGCAGGCCATGGGTAAGAGAGGGAGGGCTGTACCCATGAAGAATCTTCTACTAAATGTTGGGATGGAGAGAGAGAGAGAGAGAGAGAAAGAGAGAGAGAGAGAGAGAGAGAGAGAGAGAGAGAGAGAGAGAGAGAGAGAGAAACTAAGTGTTGAATTGAAGTAAACAGGCAAATAATGAACTGGCTTTAATGGAGGATTTTATGATGCCTAAGTAACTTTGAAGAAATAATGCCTCATTTTCTGAAATCTACAGCTATGGGCTTTTGATGGCATCACCTGACAAGACTTCCAAATGAGGACATACTGAGCCTGAAGTGTGGTCCCCTCTGCCATTCATGCTGCTTTCCTACCTGCCCCTCTTCTCCCAGCCTCTTGGCTCCTGGCACCTTCTTGGATCTCACTGGTGCCTAACTGTTCCCATCAGCCAACCCTCGCTGGGCCTGACATGTCGTCCTCAGGAGAGCACCCTGCGAATGAGAGGTTCCCCCTCTTTATTTTTCAGATGCGAGAACACGGTCACACAGCAGGCAGGGGGGAGCGCTAGCCTATGAACCAAGGCATGTCTGCTGTCAAAGCCTGGGCTCGGCAGACTGTTTCCAACCACAATGAGAGGCTAGAGAATTTCTAGAGAGACAGCATGTGTGACCTTTGGCAAGCTAGCTCCTCTGAAGCTATTTCCTCATCTGTAAATAGGCATAATAACATCTACCCTTTTATGGCGGTTAGGAGTACTAGAGATAAGATCTCTAGAAGGCCTAGTACAGCACCTGACTCAGCCTAGATGCCTCAATGTTATCTACAGTTATCACCACCTTTTGAACCTATTCTGTCTCTCATGTTCCAGAAGCTTAGGGAATGGATGCTGCTCACCTCCCAGCAAGTTCGGCACAGGTGAGGATAAAGAGTTAGTGCCGCCAAAACCGGTTTGGCTCAGTGGAAAGAACGTCAGCCTGTGGACTGAAGGGTCCCAGGTTCGATTCTGGTCAGGGGCATGTATTATACCTTGGTTGCAGGCACATCCCCAGTGGGGGGTGTGCAAGAGGCAGCTGATCAATGACTCTCTCTTATCAATGTTTCTAACTTTCTATCCCTCTCTTCCTCTCTGTAAAAAATCAATAAAATATATTATAAAAAAAAAAAAAAAAGTTAGTGCCCATGAGCATCTTCCCCTCTTTATAACGCAGGAGGCCAGCAGGTACAGGAGAAAGGGCATAGGACAGCCAGCCAGAAGCCTGAGCACTAGTCCTCAACTCCATGAGTCCTGGCTGTAGGACCTCAGAGAAATCATAACCTCTCAGTTTCCTAATCTGTAGAATGTAGATAAGAATAATAAGCGGCTTACCTCCATTATAGGCTGTGGCTCAGTTTAAGTAAGATAATGGTCTGAAAATGCTTTGCAAAGTGGGAAAGTGTAGTCCCAAAGTAAGGGGCTATTATGTTTATGATGGTAGAGATCTAGGGGCCATTATCCTTATGATGATAGAGGTCTAGTGTGGGTGGCCTCATTATCGAGGGTGGGGAGCAAACAATCTTCTGCCCCTGGGAAAGACAGAACCAGGGGGGACCGCAGTGTTGTTAGAAGGAATGAGTTTGGGGAAGCCAGGGTGCCTAACTAGTAGAATAACAGACTACAGGAAGAGCACACCTGGTTTAAAGACATTCGGGCACTTCTATTAAAAAAGAAAAAAATCAAGTTATACTAATAAATATTAAAAGTTCCAAGGAAGGGCTGCCCAAATGTGGTATAATTTACATGTTCAATCCTAGCAGCACATCAGTTATGAATCTAGGGGTACTGTGTCTGTGAGGTTACAATTACATCGGCAGCTTCCCAGTCCCCCAAGACATTCAGAGAGAAGAATCTTCTCCCAGTTTCAAAGTGTGGGGTTTTCCCCTCACCACGAAGCAAGTCTCCAACACCAGCTGGGTGTCCTACAATTCAGCTCCATTCTGACACTAACTACCTGGAGCTAGTGTCAGATCCCACAGGTTATAGACTCAGTCCTACAAGACAGCCACCCCCTACCCCTACCCCACGCCCTGCCCCCCACTTCAGATGCCAATCGTAAGCCCAAGTTGCCACCTGTGCTATAGATCGAAGATTCCAACTACTCCCTCCTTGGGTTTGATTACCGTATTTTTCGGACCATAAGACGCACTTTTTTCCCCCCAGAAGTGGGGGGAAAAAGTCCCTGCGTCTTATGGTACAAATATAGCCTGCACATATACTTTAAAAAAAAAGTTTTTTTACTTGCCCGGCTCTGTGTGGTCTCTGTGTGCTTGCCCGGCTCTAAAATGGTTCTAAATGCTGCTGTTTACTTTACAGGGTTGATTACATGTGTTTATGACTGTGATGTTGGGTTTTAATGCACATAAAATATTTTAGGACACTATTTGTTTCAGAATCTTTTTTTCTTCATTTCCCTTCTCTAAAAACTGGTGCGTCTTATGGTCCGGAGCGTCTTATGGTCCGAAAAATACGGTAATTTGCTAGAGCAACTCACAGAACTTAGAAAACATTCTACTTACTAAATGACCAGTTTATTATAAAAAGATACAACTCAGGAACCGCCAGATGGAAGAGATGCATGGGGGATGATATTGGGTGAGGGTGCAGAGATCTCACTGCTCTGTATGGCACTCTCTCCAAATCTCCAGGTATACCTCAAGCAGGAAGCTCTCCAAACTCTTCCTGCCACAGTCCTTGTTTGGTTTTAGTGCAGGCTTAGTAACAAAGGCAAGATCGATTAAATCATTGGCCACTGGCGACTGATCTCAATCGCCAGCCCCTTGTCCTCCTATGATCAGGTATGTGGGACTGAAAGTTCCAACAGTCCGATCACATGGTTGGCTTGGCTCGCTCAGTAGTGAAGTAGTAGCAGTTTTACTTGGGCTAAACACATATCTCAGCCTCACTTTCCTCATTCACAAAACGGGAAAATAACTATGTTGACGGTACCCATGATTATCATTTTAATTCCATCTTGGGTACATTGCGGGCAGAGGCAATGCTGCCTAGAGCAGTGGTTTTCAAAGTGTGTTTGGGGGGGTCAGGGGCTGAGACCCAGTCTAGGAACCTGAGTGGGTACCTTTTTTCAATTGCATACCTGTATGAATCTGGGTATTCTTCATATACTTGAATCAAAACATCACAACAAATTGAATGCAGAAACACACGTGAGACTCCAGCTTTCTTCCACTAAGCAGACATTAAAATGTTTGCAAAAATGTAAAAAACAATGCCACTTTTTTTACTAATTTTGGAGGGGGGGGTATAAATTTAAAAATAAACATACCTTAACATGCAATGACATTTTATGAACTAAAGAACACTTTTAAATTCTCAGTTTTAATTTAATATAGGTATTATCAATATAATTTATTCAAACAAAAAAGATCTTTGGGATCCTTAATAATATTTAAGAATGCGAATTTTGAGACCAAACCATATTTTTCCTTGGAGGATAGAACAGGGTTCCAGATCTAGATTTTTTAGGCACCTTGTGCTTCAGTGTTTTGTGTGTGTGTGTATTTTGGAGAGGAGGTAAGAGGGAGAGATAGAAACATCAACAATGAGAGAGAATCATAGATTGGTTATCTCCTTCACGCCCCACATTAGGGATGGAGCCCACAACCTGGTCATATGCCCTGACCAGGAATCCAATCTGTGACCTCCTGGTTCATAGGTTGATGCTTAACCACTGAGCTGGCCTGTTTTTTTTAATCGATTTTATAGAGAGAGGAAGGGAGAGAGAGAAACATCGATTTGTTGTTTCACTTATTTATGCATTTATTGGTTGGTTCTTGAATGGGCCCTGATGGGGGATAAAACCCACAGCCTTGGGGTATGGGGAAAATGCTGTAACCAACTGAGCTACACGGCCAGGGCCTCTGTGCTTCAGTTTCTTAACTTCTAACTCAATAGTCATCCTTGTAACTTTGGTGGTTATTAATCTCTTTTTTCATGTGTATTTGTTGCATTATGTGTGTAAACAGAAACTGTCTCTAGAAGGACACACAATAAGCTGGTACCAGTGGTTCCCCCTGGAAAAAGGAATTTGGAAACGGGGCGACCGTGATAAACCTTTCTGCTCTGATTTGTTCTTTAATATATCATGCATACATTGCCTGCCTACATTTATTATTGAGGAATTCAAAGTAAAACTTACACTTTGTTTAGATGGTTAGGGAATCAGAAGTCAGCTCAAGTAAAGCAGTGCTCACTGACAATTAAAACAAAGAAACCAGTGAAGTTTTCCGTGCCTACCTTCTCGGGGCTCACAGACACTTCGCGCAGGTCCCATCCCGCACACCCCGGCCCGAGGCGTCGGAGAGATGGCCCCGGCCCGCCCCTCCCCCTCGTCGCCGAGGCCACGCCCACGCCAACCTCACTTCCGGAAGAGCCGCTTCCCCGATCTCCCTCTGGCTCCCGCCTTCACCCGCTTCCGGTCGTCGTCGCCGCTGCTGCCGCTGCTCCTGCTGCTGAGGCTGCTGGCGGAGGCCGGAGAACCGGGCGGCGGCGGCGGCGGCGGCTGAGAGGGCGGCGGCGGGAGCGGAGCGGGACGAGGGAACGAGAGGAAGGAAGCCTGAGAGGAGCGAGCGGAGCGCGCCCAGCCCCGCCTGCCCTTCCGCGCGCCCGGGCTGCCGGAGGAGCCCGAGCCCCCAGCCGCCGCCGCCGCCGCCGCCCGCCTGCGCTCCCGCCGCACAAAGCCGAGACCCCGCGCCCAGAGCCATGTCCTCGTCCGCCGGCAGCGGCCACCAGCCCAGCCAGAGCCGTGCCATCCCCACCCGCACCGTGCCCATCAGCGACGCCGCGCAGCTACCTCATGACTATTGCACCACGCCCGGGGGGACGCTCTTCTCCACCACGCCCGGAGGTGAGCGACCCCCGACCCCGGGCACCCTGCGGCCCACGGCTCCCCGAGCCTTCAGCCTCCGCCCTGTCTCCCCAAAAGCCTCCCGCCACGGTCCTTTAACTCAGGGCGTGTCCACGCCGGGCCGCTGGCGTGGGCCAACTCCTGGCCCGACCCAACCTGCCCGGCTCCACCAAAGCCCCGTGGGACCGCTTTACGGGAGCCTGAACTTCGCGTTCTCTCGCGCTCGCAGCTCGATGGAGCGCGCGCCCACTCTGGAAACGTGGCCCTTCTTTGCAAAAAGAAAGAAAAAAAAAGCCCTTGTTCCCGCTTCGTGGCACTCGACCTAGTTTTCTCCCCCCACCCCCCTTCTCCGACTCCCTCCTCGGCAAATTCGTTTGCACTTGGCCTTGCGCTCGTTCTTCTGCATTGCCTCTTCCTCTTGCGTGCCGTGCATTTGTGCACATTCATGCTCGATGTTGGAGCTGTCTTGCTAGGCCTTTTTAAAGAAAGGAAGTTGGGAAGAGGAATTCGCTCCCGGGACCCTGCGACGACTTGTTTGGCCGCTTTTAGAACGCCGGGAGCGGGCTGGAATGCGGCGTTTGGAAGCCTCGCCCAGCTTATCCTGCTTTGACAGCATTGTTTACTCTGCGTACCGAGGCCCCACGGGCGGGGGGAGCGACAGAGGGATGATAAAGTAATGCTCCAGTACTAGCCAAGGGAATGGAGGTGGGGGTGGTAGCGCGCTGGCAGCCGTAAGGGTTTTAAAAGGCAGCGACGGGCTTGGAGGTAGATTGAAGAGGCCATTATGAAGGGGGCGCCCTGGTCGGTGGGGATGGCTTGATTTCGAGGAAGGGGCAGTGCAGAGGACGGTGCCTGGGCATTGCTCTTCAAAACACGACCGGGAGCTGTTTACAAGGAAGAGCACTGGGGTAGAGGTGAGAGGCCTCAAAGGGGTCAGGGGAAAAGGGAGCTCAAAGGTTGTGTCCCCTGACTGGGCTGTTCTCCAAAGGGAGGAGACTGGAAAGGGATCTTCAGGGACCTTCCCGAAGGGAATGGGGCTTCGTTTTTAACTTGGGAACTTTGCCTTCTTTTGGCGATGGGGCGCCTGGCCCATAGAGGGTTGGTTGGTTGGGACTGTGCTGGCAGCCCCTGCCCTCTCCAGGATCGCTGGGCCGTTCCCGCAGGCTGGGCTCACCCGTTTTGCTACACCCAAACCCGCCCAGTGAGTGAGGCCTTGGCGATCCCTGAATTCATTGCACAATAGAAGGGACCTTAGAGTGAGAGGACACCCTTGCCAACAAGGGATAAAAATCTGGGAGAGAGTTCTGCAGAGGAATCCAGCCAGGCTCCAGGAGGAGGGGTGGCTTGGCTTGGAAGGCTTTAACATGACCCGGGCCAGAGAAGTTCATGGCGTGCAGAGCTGAGTTTAAGGAAGGTTTTAACTGCAAAACGGAGTTTCTTCAGTGAGGCGGCTTACTTCATTGGAGAAACCTCCCCACTCGCCTGGTCTATGCAAGGCCAGCCCCTGAACACGTCGAGACCTTGCTTTTTAACGGTGAAACGTTTTTTGCAGAGCAGAATCTGTTCCAGAGAGTGTCGTCTTAAACGTGAACTGACAGCTTTTTAAGGAATGGATAATATTTTCTGAGGTGATGGGAAGGAGTTTGTAACTTAGAGAATTCTTTGTGGTCAGTAAATGCCTCTGCTTCCAGCCATTCCGAAGTTATGTCATGGTAATAATTGCAACTCAACTGTTATTTGTTTGGGGGGAAGGAATTAAACTTTTAGCTTTAGAGCAGTGATTTTTCAGCTCTTTTCATCTCGTGGCACACATAACCGAATTACTAAAATCTACAGCATAGCAAAAAAGTATTTTTTTGCGGATCTGACAAAAAAAATAGGTGTTATTTTTGATTCATGCACACTGGATGGCTATTGAGTTGGCTGTTGTCATTTTTTATTTGACAATCTAAGGGAAAAGAGGTCAGTGCCCCTGACTAGTCAGATAGGCATGTTTTTAAAATTCTTGTGGCACACCGGTTGAAAAATCGCTGATATGTAGTAATCATTATTCCCCCGAGGGAAGAGGCACAGAGGGTCACCCTTTTGGCATATTTCAAAGAACCAAGCTACCATGCTTTTAAAATAAGGTCATGCGTGGTCTTTAGGCTTTGCTTTAAAGATAGAATCCAGTCTAGTAGGTTGGATTAGTTCCTAAAATGCTTGGGAAGTTTCTGCCAAGAACACTGATTGATTGACCCAGCACACTTTCTCAAATATCATCGAACCTGCCTCCGGATAGTCTCTACACACACAGTTGTTGTTTGTTTTCCAGATTTAAATACTTGTCGTGTTAGCTCATCTATTATATTAAGCCTGTATTTATGGCAGAACACATCATGATCTTTGGATTTTTATCGCCAAGACTTACATAATGTGTTTAGAGTATATAGCCCTGTTGTGATTGGATTTAGTCACTATTTTATAGCAGTTAACGCAGTGCAGTTGAGATGTTTAATACTTATTGATTCAATTTCCCCTTTGGAAATTTTCTGCCCTCATGGTTTGTTCATTTCTCCTGTTACATGAGAAATGAACCAATATCACTTTATTCCCCAGAATCAGGGTAAGACAGTTTGTTGGTTTTTTTGCTCTCCTCCAGCACCTGAATTAATGTGGTTAGGAACCTTGGAAGTGAGTTTTGTGGGCCCTGTGCAGTGCTTTGCACAAAGGAGGACTACAGACAAAAGTAGGAAATGCAATCCTTGCTCTGAATGGTTTTAAAATATTTTTAAAAATCCTCATCCAAGAATATGTTTTTGTTGATTTTAGAGAGGGGAAGGGAAAGAGTGAGAGAGACAGGCAATGCTTTACATGGATCAGCAGCCTCCCTTAACGCCATCCCTGGGTGTGTCCTGCCTGAATGGAACCCGTGACCTTTCAGTGCACAAGACACTGCGCCAGCCAACCGAGCCACACTGTCAGGGCGGAATGGTCTCAAAAATCTTGGAGGGTATCGAGGATGGAAATGGTTTTTAGTTCCAGAACTAAATACTTGTATAGAGTTAAGTGCTAACACATATTTCAGACTTGAAAACATTTAGAAAAATTGGAGTCAGTAGGCTTGTCCTGGAAATCTGTTTACTGGGAAGGAAGGGGATTAGCATTTCCTGTCTCAGACTTGGAGACATACACATGTCAGAGCATTCCAGGATAACAGTTGATGTGTTGAATGCCCTACATGATCAGACTGGGCAGGGACTTTCACAACATAGTGAACCTAACTATCTCCATCTCTTCCCCTCTTGAGTTCTTGATTCATTGGGGCTCAGAGGATATAGCCGACCCTTAGGAAGGTTTCTCCAAGTTGCCTTGCTTCGATTTGCGCAATGAGAAGTGGGTGAAAACACACTTGCTGTAATCTCTTAGATTTCTCATGTTGCTTTTTCATTATTAGGGAAGAGAAAAATTTTTGTTGAATAAATTAAAAGCAAGGAAAAAATGTCCTTGGATTTTATTTTATTTTGGTTCTTTGAGAAGCCACTTCTAGCCTCAATGGAAGGTAAAGTTATTAGTTGGCTTCACTCTCACAACACTGGTTCGCTGAGAGAAACGGAGGTCCTGAGAAATTAAGTAACTTGTTAGTGAGTGCCATACTGCTAATTAATAGCAGTGGGTAGCCTCAAATTTAGCGCCCTATCCCTATCCCAGTTTTCTCCTCCTGCTATCATAAGATGCTTATTTTGCTGAAAAAGGAAGTTTTCAGACATTTAAAGAGACTTTTCTACCCCTGGAATGCTAGCTAATGTGATTTTTTTCCTGCTGCCTTATTCCTTTTGTAAATTCTGAACTGTCTCCTTCAGGGAGCCTTGTGCTCTGGGGAATGAGCAGAAATATAGATACGTACCTCTTTTAGCCTTTCTTTCTGTCTTTTCCCCCCCTGCATAACAGCCTCATCAGCTGTGGAAAAATATGCTGTTGCCATAACAAGAGCACCAGAGGGGAACTAACTATGATGGCCTGAAATCTTGTTCATGCCTTTGCTCTTTCTCTGCCAGAGTTGTTGTTATTGGTTCACTGGGCCAGAATTACCTGAAGGCGGTCGGAAGGGTCAGTAAACCAAGCAGAAGGCAGAAGGAAGGGGAAAGAATCTGTTCAGATGGTTAATAAAATAAGCGTACTTTGGGGGAGTCCTGAGTTTTAATCTGGTCTCTTAGTAGAAGTGAATAGAGCTCAATGTGTAGATATGGGGAAGGAAGGGCAGTTTCTGACTGTTGTAAAAATTTCTAATTCAGTGACCTTGGGCTGAGTTTATTCTAGGCCAAAAACTTCTGAACAAACAAACGTGTACTCTTTGGCTCTCTAGCTTTCGTTAATCAATGAAAGGGCTTTCATTATTATATGCATGGAAAACATAATGAGAGGTGTCAGTCATTTTGCCTTGTATTCAAGGAAGATGGCATTTACTTACCTCAGAGTAACCCAATTTAACATGTGCTGCCGCTCCATGGGAGAGTCAGCTTTAGTCTCATATCCATCACAGCCAAAGGATATATTAAAGAAGATGTACTTTATTTTTTTTATGTTGGGTGCAGTTCTGCTGATGAGAAACTGAATTCTGAGCCTGGAGAAGGCAGTAAGCAAGTCCTCATCCCGAAGGCACGCAGCAGTGCTTTAAGCCAGGTGTGTTCTGGCAAGAGACGTCAGGGCTCCTACACGTTGGTGTTGCAGCGTGCAGGGCAGACCTGTGCAAGGTGGACGTGTCTAATGGGAAGGATGAAAAGGGACGAATCTGTAAGCTAGCTCTCCCACAGGTTCCTTAGCAAAGACTTTGAGGACTGGAGTCTCAGGGACAATTTTATAGTAGGGGTCTTGCATGGTTTTTAGGCACTGTAGGTTTAATTCCTGCTAAAGGTTTGCATATCAGACAGGGTAAAGTTAACGTGGGGAAAGCTAGTTCTGCTGATTGGAGAGGAAGGGAGTCCCGAGCAGGAGAATAGTTTCTTGGTGAGTGGCGGAAC